GAAAGGGATCTGGCGCAAGCACTTGGAGTGAAATGGATGCAAGAAGCACAGGATAGAGACAGATGGTGGGGGACCAGGGACTTGTGGCTTCGTGAGACGGATCTGCCCTGGACTAAGAATCGGCAGCTTGCCGTAGATGACCTTTAGCATGGGGGTGTTTTTTTCTCCCTCTCCTGCTCTGCGTGCACGTCTAGTGAAGCTTCATGACAGGCTGAGTCGACTGCACTTTGAGCTCGAGGCTCCTCTTGGTCTTCCTGCCCCTAACCTGGCTATCTTGGAACAACAGTAGCAGCGGAAGTAATTGTCGCTCTATGTCTTCAAAAACAGTGCTCGAGATTCCCGACAAACCTCCGAACGTGCCGACGCAAAGTCTTACTTCGTGACCTTCGTGACGTCCGTGGCCCTCTACATGGCTGGTCGATCGTTTCACCCTACGAGCCCAAGTTGGCAAGTGCGGTCGTAAAAGTCCGTCTAACGTAGATCAAAAAAAGAAAAAACCCTAAACCCCTAAACCCTAAACCCTAAACCCTAAACCCTAAACCCTAAACCCCTAAACCCTAAACCCTAAACCCTACACCCTAAATCTAGGGACGCACTCAACCGTTTGAGGTAGCCGGCCGCTGCGTGGCCCCTTGGGCAGCGACTTCCGCGTGAGGAGCGAAGCTGGTCGGTTTAGATTTGGGGACTAGGGTTTAGGGTTTAGGGTTTAGGATTTTGGGACTAGGACTTGGGATTTTACGGTAAGGGGAGCGGGAATTGCAGGGTTTAGGGATTTCGAACTTTCAGGCTGGAATTTGTGGTTTAGGATGTTCGGACTCAGGCTTTTCGTTGGAGATCTGACTCGAGCGAAGCCTTGGACGACCAGTCCTGCCTCCACTTGGTCGTTGAGCCATCGGTCCCATCTTGTCAGTCTGGTATAGTTATTTTGTAGGGACTTTGATGGAACGTTTACTTCGCATTCAGACCGCTACGGTCTCACAATGTGCAATGGTGACAAGTCCAGGTCCTATCTGCGCAAGTAGACATTTCTACAGGATGGACGTGCAGTTTCCTCTTGCCTTTGCAGGACGCCTCACCAATGGGAACAGCTGACTGCCAAATTCAGCTGCTCTTAGGTAGAGCTACCCCACCAAGCATCGGCAAGAAAAGCACCACGGGCAAAGGGTTCCAAGCAGCTCCAATAACTGCACTTGTGAACCTTTCATCACGAAGTGTCTTCCTGCTCTCGAACATCGCTTCGTGTCCGCGACCCTCGTTCTACTGCTTTTGGGCTTGGGGTTTGGGGTACATAACTTGCCACACTTTTGCGATTTAGACCTGAGGCTTGAAACTCTAGGCTTCGCTCGCAGATGCCATCGGATTAACAGGTTCGTGATTCAAGATGCAAGGGGGCGCAACCTGCAACGGGTATGTAGAAGTCATGGCAAGCAAGGAGCTCATGAGCACCTGCTCCTTCTCTTGTAACAGAGAAGCCTGGAACACTTTTTCAGCGGGGTTTCTGTCGCTGCGCTTGGTGCCGGGTGATCACCGTCACCGCTGAGAGGTCGAGGCTCAAAGGGCCGTGGGATTTTTGGGGGGTTTAAGGCATTGGATTTAGGGCCATGGGATTTCGGGGTTGAAGGCCTCTGAAGCTTGGAGCTTAGGCGCCTTTCAACAAAGAGTAATGTTCGTCTCCACTCCCACTGGAACTTCAGTCTAGTCCTAGATCAAAAAAGCCTAATCTAGGGGCCTAAATAATTTCCAATACCATTGTAAGGCTCCTTATTATGATTATAGTGATCACCCCAAGTCCTATTTTAATTATGAAGGGCCCCCTTCCGAGCCCAAAGCCCAGCCCCTGAGCCCCAGACCCTCCAGACGCAACCTTAACTCCTTGACCTCCCTACAGTACAGCCCTCTATAAAGAGACTTGAGACCCTAAGCCACAAAACCCTTGCTAAGCAACCCCTAACTAAAAACGGCCCCGTCTGACAACTCCACATGTCAGAGACGAAGATCTCCGAACCATGGCGCATCTCTCTGGCAGAGCTTGTGACGATGAGGAGTCTCAGGACTTTGGGGTCTAGGGCCAGGGTTCAAGGACTTACAAGGTCTCGGGCTATAGGATTTTGGGTTCTTGGGTTTAGGGCTAGAGGGTCTTGGGTAGGGGAGTTTTAGTGTGTCGGTACGTATCGGCTTGGCGGGTTCTGGTATAGGTACGTCAAACCCGCCCCTGCTTTGGTTTCTTCGAGCAGGATTTGCTCGAATTAAGAAGTTGTCATTCTCTTGGGACTCTACCTATAGTCTCCATTGTAGTTCCTTTTGTTGGTTTTACCAATTCTATATTAAGGATCCTATAAGGTAACCCCCAAAAAGTAACTGCAATGGAGACTATAGGTAAACCACTAAACCCTCCCCCCTATGCCAACCCTTGCACTGCCACCGCACTCCTTGACCCTGATTGACACCCCTGCCGCAATCATTTAGACTCATCCACGAAACCCAAACCCAAATAAAACCCTCAACCCAAATCCCTGAACTCTGAACCCCCAAAATCGTCAACTGCCAGACTCAACTTGAAGGGACCTTTATGATCCTAAACGGCTAAGGGGAACTAAACACAGATTATAGCACAATTACGTATACGATTCCGTAGGGTGTTGATTCCCAACACCCCAGTCTAATCTCCTAAAGCCTTTTCATTATGGGAGGATGGAGCTGACTGTGGTCCGGTATACATCCGCCATGGCTCAGACGCCTTGGTTGATGACTCTGCAACTTAGAAGCCTTCAGGGCTTTAGGGTCTGGGTGTGTGTGGTATTTTTGTTGTCGGGGTTTATATAGGGTTTAGGGTTTATAAGGGCTTAGGGTTTAGGGCTTGTTGTTGTGAAGTGATTGGAGTTGAAGCTGTTTGGGGACCTTCCCTGGCTTTCTGACTGTCGGGTGAACGTCTTGAGTCTAAGTAACTTTGCTAGCCTATTAATAAGTGTACTACCTGTTGCTACCTGTGCTACAACCCTAAATGCTAAGCCCTGAGCATACGGAGCAAACGGTCACTACACTTAGAAAGAATCTCTGAGGTACTTCAAGCCTTAGGATCGTCTCAATCCCCGGAAGTTGGGCGCTTTTGCCCCATAGGCCTTGGGGTTTCTTTCAGTTGTACAGTGGCTAGTCGTTGAAATGTTGTGCCAAAGGCCCCAGAGCCCGATTCTAGTTACTCCGGGTTCTTATATCATACAAGCCGGCAAGTAAGGCGAATCCTCTCGCATATGCACGGGAATCAGTGCCCTGGCAATTGCGTCACTCTGAATTCCGTCCTTGCGGCGGCCACGAGATCTGCACAATGGGTATTCGGCTTTCGGCTTTTGCAAGACATGAGATCGGCTGGCGTGGTACCCAGCGTCGTCTCGTTCGGAACGGGGATCACTTTGAGCAGGGGCTTCAAGTGGCGTCAGGGCTTCCTCCTACTGCAGCAGCTTCCAAAGCGATCGTTGCAACCAAACACGGTGACGGCCAATGCCGCTCTATCGTGCGTTTCAGCTGCAAGTGCTCCCAACACAGGCAATGCAGGAAAGGCGGCGGATGGCTGGAGCGCTGCAATGGACGCGTACAGCCAGATGCACCAACTGAGCATCGAAACCAGTGCAGCGACCACTGGCTCTGTGATCCACCTTGCTCGATTCTTGAGACGATGGCAGATGGCTTTTCAATTCATGACACTCGAGAAACGGCTCTGCAAAGTACCTTAACCCCAAATATCCTACCGTTTTAAGGACTTACATAAAGAATTCATAGTAAGGAATCCTAAAACGGGAGGTTCTTTCGGGTCCAGGTAGAGCATGGCTCCGTGAGCCGGATCTCCTTCAACTCGGCGATCAGTGCCTGCGAAGCCGCGTCGCAGTGGGACGCAGCACTGGGCATCTGCGAGTCCATGGATCGCGGCGATGGTGTGACCGTCAGCGCATGCATTTCCGCCTGCGAGAAGGGGCAAAGGTGGATCAGAGCAGTCGACCTCGCTCGGTTTTTGCCTCAAATGCTCACTGTGCGGAAACCCACTCGTGGTGAGCTCCAATGTCGTGCCATAGCCCTCGCAGCGTGCATCAGTGCATGTGAGAAGGGCCTCCAATGGCAAAGATCTCTGCAAACGGCCTCTGATTTGCGGCCTTTTCTCGACTCCCAGAAGGCATCCAAGACTCTTCCATACAATGCAGCATTGTGCTCCTTGGGCCGGGGTGTTCGCTGGGAACTGGCGGTGAGCATAGTTCGCTGGCTTCCGATGTCTACTCTTCGTCCCAGTCTCGAGTCTCTGAACGCTTGCGTCGGAGCCCTGCGCACTGCGCAGGAGTGGTCGAAAGCTATGTCAGCTTGGTTGACCTTGGAGCATTCAGCTCTCATGCCATCAGTCGTAACTATGGCTGCATCTACTGCCATAATCTCTGGCCGAGCAGCATGCAATGCTCTCATCTCTGCTTGTGCAGAACCATTGCGATGGAGACAGGCTATCTGCCTCTTCGAGATCATGGGTCCTGATCCTAGGCAGGCCACTGGGATATGTGTTTTTGTTTCCTGTGTGTAAAAAACCCTAAACCCTAAGCCATAAACCCTACACCCTTAACCGAGAATCCAAACTTGATTTAAGAATGCTTGCCAGAACTCTTTGGAGCTTTGAAGGGCCATCCCTAAACCCTAAAAGCCTACCTAATATAGGGACCGAAATATGTTCCAATATCATTATGCGGGGTCTTTATTATAGCTATAGTTTAATGGGCCCCAAAACCCCATTCTAATTTTTCAGGCCCCTATATTAGGATCGAGTCTCCTTCAATTCCCTCGCCTCTGTGCTGGAGAGAAGCCGCTTGTGGCGTCTGACTATGGGGCTCCTACCTCAACTGCGTGCACGGCTTTTGGAGCCTGATCCCTTCACCGAGGACGGAGATCTGAATGTGAGGAGTTTTATAGAGAGGCCTCAATAACCATCATTGCTACTCCTTCGGGTTCCTTATATATATATATATGTACATACACATACATAGAGATAGATGGATAGACAGTCAGATAGATAGATAGGTAGATAGATACATAGATAGATAGAGCGAGTGGTACTATAACATACCCCAAAATGCCTATTCTAGCTATTAAGGCCCGTCATTTGGGGCATTGGCCTTGGGACTGCGGACAGAGCTCCTCTGACTTGAGGCCACTTTGTTTTGTTTATGGCTTTAGTGTTTTAGGGTTAAGGGTTTAAGGGTTTAGGGTTTCGGGTTTAGGTTTTGGGGGTTTAGGGTTTAGAGTTTAGAGTGCTTCTACAAGTCTGCCGAAGATATTGGCTATTGTCCTAAGATGTTCGAAGCACGAACTCAAAAGTCCTAAAGGCCCTGAACGCCAGACCCTAAACCCTGATACCCGTAAATCCTGAACCTCATACGCCCTAGACCCTACCAGCCCTAAAGCCTAAACCCTAAGCTCCAAACCCCCTAAGCCCTAAACCCTATAAAACCCTGACCCTAAACCCTAAACCCTAAGCCCTAAACCCTAAACCCTAAACCCTAAATCCTAAACCGAACCCGGAGGAGGCCGTCGTCTCTGCGGCTCAGCGAGCCGGAGCTTGGCGGCAGGTGCTGGCGACTCTGCACACTGGCAGGCGAGGGCCTTTTCTGGTAAGGGTTTAGGGTTTCGGGTTTCGGGTTTAGGCTCTAGGGTTTCGGGTTTAGGGTTCAGGGTTTGGGGTTTAGTATAGGGTTTAGGGTTTCGGGTTTAGGGTTTGGGGTTTAGGGTTTAGGATTTCGGGTTTAGTGTTTAGGGGGTACTAAAATCTACATTCATTACACTAATACGACAAGAAGAGTAATAAGAATAATAGTGAGCAGAATCACAATAAGAGTGCTATAGTACATTTTACTATAGCATAGTTATTGTCGTATGAGTGTAGAATTATAGCCTTCTTATAGCGTGATTTCTTCAAGAACTTTTAAGCTCGGGGAAGGCTTTCGGCTTAGGGGTTTGGGATTCAAGGATTTCGGAGTTAATATACGGGGCGTTAAGTATTAACTATACTATGTTGGGGGTTCCTTCTTATAAAGGCCCCTACATTAGGTTATCGGGCTTGTGGGTCTGGAGTCAGGGGAGGACTTTGGCATTGGGGTGTACTTTGGCAACATGAAACAGTAGAACCCGATGCTAGCAAAAGGCTGGGGTTTAGGGCTTACCTGAACCCTCAAAAGTAGGTAACATATATATATATATATAGAGGGCCATGATTCTACATACTTTCAGGGTCCAGGTACGGTTTAGGGGGTGCCCGCAGTGCGCAACCGCCCGGCGCCGCAATCATGGGCATCGTCTTCTCTGCACTTTCCTCGGCGGGGCAGATGGAGCTATGGCCCAAGGTGCATTCGGCAAAAAAGGGGCACAGCAAGGCGTCCTAGACGGTTCGGGGGCTTCGGCCGAATTTCTGTTCATTGGGCTATGTACTGTCCTTGCCCAAGTTTCCGTGTGCAATCTACATCACTCTTCAGCACACATCCCTCGAGCCCAACCCCTAAACATTAAACCGTTTAAGCCACTAACCTGAAAGGTGCTTCAGCTTCTGCAGGATCTGAAAGACACCGAAGTGGAGGCGGATGCATCGGTTCTCGGCACCTTGATGTCCTGTTGGGGATTTTGGGGGGCTTCTTGAGGTCTACGGTTGTGCTGGCAAGTTGTGTTACAACTATGACGGTTGCTGGCCTGGTATGCTCAGGCTCAACCACATGTGGAGGGGCGTTAAGAATGTGATGGGAGCGACAAAATAGGAATTGTCGCTCAAGGCTAAGAGCAGCAGGCAGGGCGTTGTTATGATGAACGTTGACATAGTCTAGGAACCTTAAGTACTACCTATACTATGTTTTTGAAGAGGGGGTCCTTATTCTCTTAGAGTAGAGTATACCGCAAAACCCTGTTCTAACTACCCAGGCCCCTACATCAGTTGAGACCTGAGAATCAACCCTAAGCCTCAAAAGCCCCGGCCTCGGCCGCAACAAACCCAAAGGGTCTAAGTACCCAGATAGTAGATATTATGGGCTCCAAAGTACCTACCATATAAGTACTCAGACCCTTTGGGAAATAATCCAAAAATCCCAGGTACAGTTTGCGAGCTCTTCGTGGGAGCAGGGCGGCATGCAATGCAGACGGCTTCTTGGCCGGCTTCTTTCGTCATCGGGGGGCGGGGGGGGGGGGGGGGNNTGGGGCCTAGGGGCAAGGTTCTGTGTAGGATGGGATGGTTCTTTATAACAGTGGCAGGAATTGAAAGTACGGTTGTGCTTGGTGGAAGGGGATGAAAGCAAAGAGTTGTGGCATCCGCTCGAATCTAGGGTTGTGATTCCGGCTAGGGGATGCAGCACTAGAATCGCCAACGCTGCAATCACAACAGCAACACCAGTGGCATCAGAAATCCTGGCGACAGCGTATTCCGTCCAGGAAACAGGTGGCTTGTCGCGTCGTCATGACCTTTGGGAACACATACTTGCCGCCTAACGCGCATGCAATGATATCAGTCAACCTAGCCCGAAGTGAACATGTCCCAAAGGAGGGGTGTAGGGTTAAGGGTTTAGGGTTTACCCTTTGAGTGGCACTGCTTTTGTCGGAGGCTCCCTACATCCACGGCCTGCACCTGTATCTCGGATGCTCATTGATTCTCGATTGCTGTCTGTCTCGCCATGTTTCTCGCAATCCCACATAGATACATGAGTGGAGTTTTGAGACGAAGCTCTTGCACTCTTGTGTGATCTCAGCCATTGAAGCCAATCCCTGCAACTTCAACTCTCAGGCTTGAGAGGATGCAGCGGGGAACGGAAAGCTGGCTGAGTGCTTCCGGACAACCGGTGATAGCACCGTAGAGTCTCGTAGAGCGTGCACGCTTCTTTCGTCCATGGTGGCAGTGACGCCATGACTCAATGACTGTCTCAGGACTGCCCTCGGCCATCCCCGAAAGTCCAGAGCCGTCTCGTTGGACGTGCCCCACCAGAAAGGCTCCTCGCGCCGAGGGTGCCCGCTTGCAAGCTTGCTCGAATTCGCATGGCTTCCATGCAAAGCCAGTTTCTTTGTGTAGCTGTGTGGTCCCCGGAATGCTGGAGGTATTCTACAGTATTCTCGACCAGAGAAAAGGAGCTCCGGTTCTTTCGAGGTGCGTGGATTTCGGGGAGGGCTTTTGAGCTCCGGGCCCCGGCACCGGAGGTTGATCGTTTACAGGGTTTAGGTGGGTTTTACCGGGCCTAGGGGGGTTCAGGAATGTCTGAGAGAAGTATGTCACAATCCATCACGCAGAACTCTGAAACCTTTAACTCCGCAAGGTTAGGTACAGTTAAACCCTAAACCCTAAACCCTAAACCCTGAACCCTAAACCCTAAACCCTAAAGGCCCACAAAACTCCTCTTGTGCCCTGTCGGATGCAAGTCTTTGTTGCGAAGCTTTGCGAAGCATCTCCTGACAGGCTTCGCTTGGCAAGCCTGTGTGATTTCCCTCGCACCTGCCAGGCTCATGAAGTTCTAGTGCAGTTACTAGTACTAGTATTATGAGGGCCTGCCAGAACCCGTCTGGAATCAAGTTTGTTTTAAGGGTCTGCGCCTCAAAAGATAATAGTTTAGGTTTCGGCTGACACTCGCAGCTGCAGTCGGCTCAGAGACGTAAGGATGAGGCTCTTCGGACGTGCCTCAAGGAGCAGGAATCACAGCCACGCGCCGCCCTGAGGTTATAACTAAGGTAACTATACTTATAGCCCCAATTAGGGGACTTTTAACCTGGTAACCTTACTTACTAAGTCCCATGATCCTCCAAGCATACTATATCTTACCCGTAATTCGGTTGAACTGGCATGCCAAGGATGTAGATGTTCAGTTGACCAACCTCAGAGAGTTAAAGCGCGGTCACGTCCAGTTTTCTGATAAATCCCACAATCGGCTTTATGCGCTGTGAATTTAATTTACTTGGTAATGTCTTAGAGTGAAGACTCATTTGGGCATCCGTGTAACTAGGATCCCGTTATTCAGGGTCATGATTTACTGCAACTCCTATATAGGCTGAGGTAAGCATTATGTACTTCTGTTGCTGACCAAATATCCGGCCTAATTAATTACCAATATGATTCCTTAGGGGGTTCGTTGTTTATATTTATTGTGTGTGTACATATATATGTATATATATATATATGTACACCCATACAATACCCCAACAACCGTCTTCTAAATATCAAGGCCCCTGCATTGTACTATAAAGCATCTCAGAAACCTAGTCTAATTATGAAGGCACTTGTATTACATGCAGAACTATTTTGCAGGGACTTCTTGGAACTCTGCATGATGCTTCCCCTGTTTGGAATAATGCGTGACTCTTTGACAACAGGCCGCATCCGTTTCCCCAGCTTTCCGTATTCAATCGATTTGTTCGTGAGGGTGATAGTGTTTTGGTAGTTCATCATGGTTCTGTATGAGAGCTTGACCATCAGCACTATCAGTAACGAGGGGGCGGCATGGCGGCTGCCTGTATGATTCTACCTCATGCTTTCGTTGAAACAGACCTGTAAAACCCCTTAGAACCGTAAACACCCTTTTGGAAGCCCTTATACCTAAACCCTAAACCCAGGTGGCGAGTGCGGTCGTAAAAGTCCGTCTATCGTAGGTCAAAAAAAAAACCCTAAACCCTAAACCGTTATAGATGCCCTTCAAAGCCCCAAGCTCGGAAGCCCGTTCCAGGTTTGTTCGGGTCTGGGAAGGCGGAGCTATGGCGGCATTGCGGCAGGCCTGGAGTGCGAGTGTGCAAGCGAACTATGGAGGATCAATAGTATTAGTAATACTACGATGGTGATGACCAGACTACCACTACGACCGTCATTACGATATATAACTGTTACTATTTTAAAGTATGATAGATATAAAAGAACTTGTATACCGTTAGAAATTAGTGTTATCGCCAGTCATGTCCATCCCTTTCAGTGTTTGCGGACCTGCTCGCGGTACCGAAGAGCTACGCAGCTACTTACCATATTCTTTCTTGCATAGCCACAGGCATCCAAGCATGCCAGCTGTCTTTGCGCATCTATCCGGTTGAACTATCCACGTGTATCCATCTCTCTCTCTCTCTTTCTCTCTCTCTCTCTCTCTCTCTCTCTCTCTCTCTTATTCGCCCCCCAACTCTCACCGCCACCACTCCGGCGTGCGCACCTATGAATGAACACACAGCATATACAGACACACACACACACACAAACAAACAAACACATACACACACACACACACACACAAGTTGTACAAGAACTTGCCATGCTGTTGTTGGAGTTACTTGCAGTCTTGGTTCCTGTTCTTTCCAGTTGTGCGTTGTTTTGCTTTCCCGAGTATTGGAGAGCTTAGTTACTTAGTTCTCTTTTGAGATCTTTAGGCTCGCATCCAGCTCACCTTATCCGAACTGCGGTGGGCCGCCCGCCATGTTGCGTATGTCGCCGTTGTTGTGTTGGATGGCCTCTTGCCAGAACTTCAACTTGGACCAGGCTGGCCTGCACCCTGGGAGTGCAAGTTTAAAGTGAGGCTCTTCGATTTGTCAACAGAATCTAACCACCCTAAAGCCCAAAGCCCTAAACCCCAAAAACCCTAAAGCCCGAAACCCTAAAACCCTAAACCCCAAAATCCTAAAGCCCCTAAACCCTTTTTAGGGTTTGATCGCCGCACAGGAGTCTTCCTGCATCCTCCAGCTCGCACCAAAGGCCGCGCCCGACCCTACGTGCATCTCGTCTTCTCAATGGACAGTGCCTTAGTTACCAATTTGGGAGTTTCAGGGTTTAGGGTTTAGGGTTTAGGGTTTTGTTTCTTATATTGCTTAGTATAGAAGAATAAAAGTAAATATGGTTGAGAGACTTTCAATTTGCTTTATGTTGCATACAGAACAGTATGGAACTGTTCGGCATAATGTCAATTTCCTTTGTTGGTTAATACAGAACAATAGTACATTTGGGACAATTGCTCAGTTCCGGAGATTAGATGATTATGAGGGGGTTGTCGAAACCGACACCTAGGAGCAGTTCTTCGTCGAGCCACAGCCACCACCAATTCCTGCGGACTCAAACGACTGGACCAGTGCGGCGCTGGAGGGCAACTTCGCCCTGATGTCCTGGAGCCAATTCCGTTCAGCTTCAGGACCTTCTTTCTTAATGGGTGGTTGTCAAAATTATGATCCCTTTTTGGGTCCTTATTATAAAACGGCACCGATTATTTAGGGTACCCCAAAAGGGACCCTAATTTAGAGAACTACCCTAATCAAGAAACAATTGTTCTGAATAACAGAGCAGTTTGTGTTTCGTCAAAAGGCAACTTCGCCCCCTGATGTCCTGGAGCCAACTCCCTTCAGGACCTGGCGTGGTTCCAGCCTTGGCCCTCATCTATGCCAAGGAAGAGGGTGAGTTAAATGAAACCCCCTAAGCCCCTAATCCCCCAAGCCCTAAAAACACCGAAACCCTGAACCCCCAAATACTATAGCAAGGAAGACGGGGAGTGGAAGTTGAACGCCAACCTGACTGCCCTGGCATCATGGAACAGTACAGACGTAATTTGGGTAGTGGCTGACCTGAGTGCGGAGAACATTGCGATTGCCTACAGTGTAATTGACCTCTCGAACTTGCCAGTCTACAGCTTTGTTTACACAGGCACGACATGGACTTTGGTGAATGTCCAGGACTTCCCTGCAGGCATAGAATGCCAGTTCGCGGGTACCAATGATGATTGCTTAAAGCTGGGTGGGATCTGATGGTGTTTCGATCAGCTACCGCCACCTTGGGTGGCTTTGAAACCTACCAGTGGCAAGGGACGAGTTGGTCCCTAGTACCGACCGCAAACATCACAAACCCACCGGGAGTTTCGACGTTCAGCTGCTAGACGGCAGCATCAGCAATGAGCATTTGTCCATTTTGGTAGCGGTGACTTGTGTTGCGGAACCCTTAGCCTTAACCCTGATGCGCTTCGATCCTCTGACCTGACCACTGGGTCGACCAATATCCGTAGGCTCGATCTTACTTAGGATTTGCAGTCGATGGGCAACGCCTCGTGTTGACCACCGCGATTATCAACGCCGGGATAGTCCCCGTTGTGTACGTGCGTCTCGGTTGACCCAGTCTTACGCGCTTGTTTTGGGATTAATTGGAGGCATGTGGAGTCTAGGTCGAACTTCTTTTTATTACACAGTATGTAAAATGTTTGAAAGTTATATCGTAGTATGTATAAGCCATATAGAAAAATTAAACGATTATGTATATATACATATATATATATATAGATATGTACTGTGACGCTGATACATTACTCAGGAATAGAGGTGAACGGGACTTTGTGGTGTAATGCTGCGTGTACCTGCGAAGTGTTTGAGGTTGTGAGAATGTAAATATGACACAAAAGATGGGTCTGCAAAAACCCAGGCCTCACAGCAACCTGCTCTCTCTCGCTCTCTCTCTCTCCCTCTCACCCTCTC